AACGAGAGAGATAGGGTACCGTAAGAACCCCCTTGTTTAGCAGAAAAATCTATTTTGGACTGTTTGTGTAAACTCTTACTCCTGTCTACTGCGCGAACATCCAGTATGGGAAAACTCCGGGTGAATGAGTCCAATCAGTAACTAAGGGGAGGGGCTTAGCGAAGGTCGTAATTTCTAAATTGAGACAATGTGCAAAGGGCATGTTAATTTTTTGGTTCCTATAATAACACGATAAAGAAGATTCATTAATGGCTTGTGGTGTTTATTTTTATTTTCTTCAGATCTGCCCAACGCTCACCGGCTTGCAGTGGATGGGTGTCCAGAAACCTGTTATGGACCAGTTATACTGCCAATAAAAAGAACAGATTAATGTTGCCAGACTTGATGGTTCCTTCCAAATGCTGTCATGCAGGGCCTGGACACCACATGCTGGTGCTGCTCAATACTGGGGGGGTTGGTTGTCACACACACACACGCACACACACAACACACACACAACACAAAGCTGTCACACTTAGTCAAAATGAAGCTTTCAGAAATTGCTCTAGAACATCCTCCTGATTTCACCTTTAACCTGCAACACACACACAGAAGTGCGCACACACAATCGTACACATTTGGGCAATGTCTGGCAGTCAGGCTCCCCTGTTGCGCTCCTGTTTGCAGTCAGTGATGACAGGCAGAGTAGTTTGGCATAGATGGTCACTGACCTCTGACTGTTTCTTCACTCCAATTTCTCCCCCTCTTGTCATCTTTCTTCCCTCTGTCGCTCTCTTTCTCCATCTTGCTCTATTTCTATTTTGAAAGATAGCTTCTGCGCTATCTATGAATTATTTACAGCCAGTGTCTCGGTCGCTTTGTGTCGCTATTTCTGTTCCGGTGTTTATTTTACATCCTGTCCCCTCCTGCCTTGTTTAGCAAATGTCCGTTTTTTTCCTCCCTTCTTCCCTCTTGAAACTTCATCCCCCCTCAGCTCCCCCAAACAAAACCTGGCCTCTCATCTTACCAGCAGAGCAGAGACAGACCATCTGTATTTATATATTTAGTTTTGTCCTGCAGGAATATGTGTGCTTTTGAGTATTTGAGGTGGATGAAGAAAGGATATTTTCTTAAGAAATGTCTCTGCCTCCTTGTGTTTTTTTGTGTACTCCTTCCTCTCTTTCAAAGACTTAGCCTACTTAAGTGGAGGAATGTTTCCGATCTGAGCATTGTTGGCATGGGGGAAAATGAGAAGCAGATGCTGGATCCATATGCTGGGCCTGTCTCCTCTTTCTGGCACACAAACACACTGCCCAGAATACGTCCAGGAGTGGGTGGGGGCAAAGTCAGTCTGGGAGGGACAAACTCAAACTCGCATCTGGTTGTGTGTGAGTGCACAAAAAAGAGAAAATGTGGGTGTTTAAATGCACCAGAAACTTTATTTAAAGCCATGTTAACAAACAAATGAAGGGTGTGGTGGATGTGGTGGGATTTAACAGGAAGTGGCTGATGGGGGCAGAGGATAGATACCCTTTAAACATAGACTACAGGCAGTCTAAACACTGTGACACGCAATCACATTGTCATGTGTACTCCGTGTTCAGTGGACTTTGACCAGTTTAAGGAGCAAGGAACGCAAATGAAAGGCGTTTATGCGAGTGTGTGTGGCAGAGTGAGGGTGTCAGTCATGGGATGATGAGTCAGAGGTCAGTTGCTCAGCATCGGTCGAACTTGATTGAAAAAATTAAAACAACATTGCATTGCATTTTTATGTAAGTCACATGCAGTTTGGTAAGGATTTGCAGACCAGATGCTCCACAGATTCTAAAGTATTTTGTTGTTACTATTATAATTACTATTGTTACTAATTTTTTATTTTTTTTCAAGAGATCTAACTTACAATCATAAAACCAGCATAAAAACCATGGCCATATGTAAACAAATCTTAAGGCAGACTGCCAACAATCAACCAACAAAAATAACAGAGTCATAACAAACATCACATGGTAAAGCTTTAAAATCTCCAAGGGGATTGAAAGAATTTAGCTTGAGAGCTGTTTGCAATTTGTTCCATTTAAAAGGTGCACAGTACCCTAATCTGGTCCAAGATTAGTGTGTGTGTAGTGTATTTAAATGATAGCTTTTTTGTCAATAAGAAAACCCCCTACGATTTTGCCATACAATAAGAAGAGAGGTTTATGTTGTGAGGGTTGTGAATGTTATTAGGTGGGGCTAAGTCTGGTCAAATTATGATGTGCTGAAAATAAATTAAAGTTCTCCTTCCTCCTACTGTGGCTTTGCTGATTCTCTCTGCCTGCTTCCTTTAGGAAACTCTACTGGACAGATGGGGACACCATCAACATCGCCAACACAGACGGCAGCAACCGCAGCGTCCTCTTCACCAACCAGAAAGGACCTGTTGGTGAGTGACGTACTCTCCGTCTTTCTGTGACTGCAAGAGATACAGCACACCCTTGTGACAGGGGAGGTCATTACACATCAGTATCAACGTCTTTGTTTTCGGGGTGCCTGGATAGCTCACTTAGTAGAGCTGGCGCCCCATGTACGTACCACGGCTGAGTCCTTCTGTAGGGTTTGAATCAGACCCGTGGCCCTTTGCTGTGTGTCATGCCCGCTCTCTCTCTCTTTCTGACATCCTTTCCTGTCAATTAAAGGCAATCATAGCCCAAAAATATATTAAGAATAACATCTTTGTTTTCTAGGTCTCTCCATTGACTTTGACACTGAGCAGCTGTACTGGATCAGCTCCGGAAACAGCACCATCAACCGCTGTAAACTGGACGGCTCTGGACTGGAAGTGCTTGAGGGAGCAAAGGGCAAGCTCACCAAGGCTACTGCCCTGGCCATCATGGGTAGGTCTACAAAAAAAACTGTGGCTAGTGATGTATGTAGAGATACTACAGCCATGTATGTGTGTGCCTTTAAATGTTTTTGAGTTGAGGGTTGAGCCATCCTGTTGTGTGTTGTGTCCTTTAGGAGAGAAGTTATGGTGGGCAGACCAAGGAACTGACCAGATAGGGACCTGCGACAAGAAGGACGGTGGCAGCTGGAAAGTCCTGAGGAACAGCACGTCCCCCATGATGCACATGAAAATCTACAATGAAACTGTGCAGAAAGGTGCAGGGCCGGCTGCCGACTTTTTCTAAACTTACGCAACATTTGTTTTGGTTGAATTACGTAGCAAAGATATAGAAATAAGAGGAAAATTTGTCCCTGTCTCATCCAAGATCTGTTTTGCTTGCTGTGTGTAGCCTGTTTATCTATGCCAAAGCACATCTGTTTATGTCTCTGTAACTCCTCTTTGATTTGTTTTGTGTATTTGTTCTCGTGCTTTTGTGTTCCCAGGCACCAATCTCTGCAGTAATAACAATGGAGACTGTTCCCAGCTGTGTCTCCCCACCTCCCCAACCACCAGAGCCTGCATGTGCACTGCAGGATACAGCCTGCGCACAGGCCAGCAGTCTTGTGAGGGTACGACATACACATAATGCATTCTTCATTTAGCCAAACATGAATTAAGGAATTGATGAAAACGATAAATGTGTGATGAAAAACAAACTTCTCAAAGGCTGAAAAAGGGGATTTTATTTGTTTGCTATAGGTGTTGGCTCTTTCCTTCTGTACTCTGTGCATGAAGGCATACGTGGTATTCCTTTGGACCCATCAGATAAGTCTGATGCGCTGGTACCAGTGTCAGGCACATCCCTGGCTGTTGGCATAGATTTTCACGCCGGTAAGTCTTCTTACAACATTTCTTTTTCTCAAATGCTCGATAAGAATTACCCCAGCATGAACGAATTTGTTCTGTGTCTTTGATGCAGCTGCAATAACAGGGTAATTTGCTATTGCATTTAGCATGTGTTATTGTGTAAGCAAATAGGAATGTTCTGTTCGGTCCAACTCTTATATGTTTCACTTTTTTTCACAGACAATGACACTATCTACTGGGTGGACATGGGCCTGAGCACCATTAGCAGGGCCAAGAGAGACCAGACCTGGAGAGAGGACGTGGTCACTAATGGCATCGGCAGAGTGGAGGGTATCGCTGTCGACTGGATAGCAGGTGAGAGACAAAATGGTGGAATTCAAACAGTATCAATCCTGCACACTGATAAACTGTGGCTCTCTGTAAGTAAATCTATCTTCTTTGCACACACAGTCACTGTTACCACACAGTAGGAAGGAAGAAGTAGGGGAAACTATTGTTCTAAGTGCGAAAACAGGAAAGAGATACCCAAAGAACAGGCACAGAAGAGAAATAATAAAGAAACACCTAAAAAAATTCTTAGATTAATTAATGTCACTATAATTGTCAAAAGGAGGTCAGATAGGATAAATATATGCATCACTATACATGCACCAAAGGTTCTGCTAGAGCATCATAGTTTCTCCCCTATCCTCTACAGGAAACATCTACTGGACAGATCAAGGCTTTGATGTGATAGAGGTGGCCAGACTGAACGGCTCCTTCCGCTATGTGGTGATCTCCCAGGGCCTGGACAAGCCTCGCGCCATCACTGTCCATCCTGAGAAAGGGTGAGAGGAAACAACACAGGGTCCAGCTCCAATTACTACTGTAGCGGTCTTTAGCTTCTGCTTCTGTAATCTCTCACATTATTAATTAGTGAGGAAGTTATCTCTTCGTTTTGCTCTGTTTGTGTGTGTGTGTGTGTAGCTACCTGTTCTGGACAGAGTGGGGCCAGTATCCGCGTATTGAACGGTCTCGTCTGGATGGCTCTCAGAGGGCTGTCCTGGTCAATGTCAGTATCAGCTGGCCCAACGGCATCTCCATTGACTACGAGGTGCAGTATAACAGACCAATCTTGCATTTATATCACTATGTTACAGTGCAGACAGTGGACGTTGCATCACAACATTATCTTGAACATTACTGTGTGTGTGCTCGTAGGAGAGTCTGCTGTACTGGTGTGATGCTAGGACGGACAAGATTGAGCGTATCAACCTAGAGACTGGAGAGAACAGGGAAGTGGTGCTGGCCAACAACAACATGGACATGTTCTCTGTGTCTGTGTTTGAGAGTTACATCTATTGGAGTGACAGGTCAGACATAGTCTTACTTTTGGATTATTTGTGAGTGATATTCACCCACAGTCATGATATTTTTCCTCATCTGCAAGCTTTAGAATCTGTTTAATTTTTTAATTTTGTCTGTGTGCTTTAAACTAGGACACATGCTAATGGCTCCATAAAGAGAGGTAGCAAGGACAACGCCACAGACTCTGTGTCTCTGAGGACTGGTATTGGGGTGCAGCTCAAAGATATTAAGGTTTTCAACAGGGCCAGGCAGCAAGGTAAACACAGAGGTGTTGAGCAGTGTTCAAGGAATTTGTATTTCAATGAAATTAATAGTTTTGTTACAGTGCGCTTTTTGTGCAATCTCATTTTTTTAATTTGTGAAATTGAATTGTAGTTGATTTCATTTCATGGATTTCATGTCTGTGTACAGGAACAAACGTGTGCAAAGACAACAATGGCGGGTGCCAGCAGCTTTGTCTTTTCCGTGGCAACGGACAGCGTACATGTGCCTGTGCCCATGGCATGCTAGCTGAAGACGGCCGCAGCTGCCGAGACTATGATGGCTACCTGCTCTACTCAGAGCGCACTATACTAAAGAGCGTCCACCTGTCAGATGAAAACAACCTGAATGCGCCCATTAAACCATTTGAGGACCCCGAGCACATGAAGAACGTCATTGCACTCACTTTTGATTACAGAGGGGGTGGTGGAAAGGGAGCTAACCGTATCTTCTTCAGTGACATCCACTTTGGCAACATCCAGCGGATCAGTGACGACGGATCTGACCGCAGGACTGTGGTAGAGAGTGAGTAATCCCACATAAGTTTGTGTAAACCTCTTTTTAAATATACCCTATTGTCCTTTAACAATCAACCTGCACCCAGTTCTTATATCCCAGTTTATCTTTAGTATATTCCCCATTGTTGGTATTGGGTCTGTCGTTACTCAACTATTTTGTGAATAACAAAGAAAGTTAGTTGTAAACATTAGATCCCACACTGAGAACTCTTCCTGGGATGAAACGGCTTGAGTTCCCCAAAACACTAAACATCATGATCTAAACACAACCAGGAAGCTTTTATTATGAAGTTGTAACCAAACTAGAAGCAAAGGGAAGACCTTATTTATTGGAGGTTTGAGAACACAGTGTATGCAAACATAAACAGGCCTACAGATAGACTTTCATTCACCTTATCTCAGCACAACAAAACACAGGTGCACTGTTAATGTTTTACCAGAGTGCCTTTTACTTTAAGCTGTTTTACAAGCAATGCATGGTTCAGGATTGTTTGTCCCACAGTCCCTGTGGAGCCGCAACTCCCAGGGTTACCGGTTTGATCTTCTCATACAATATCCAGACTACCAGTTAAAGAGGAAAAGATGTTGAATATTGTCCACTTTTGTAAGTGCTGTTGTTTTACCTTGGTAAGAAGACTTTCCTCATGACGGTAATGGTTATATCCATTTCTTTCATGATTCTGTCAGCAAAGTAACTGGGCTTGTAATTGTTTTACCGTGATTCCTAGTTGTCTTAGTGTTTGTCAGGTGTTTAGTTACATCAAAATAGTAGTTGATAATAATACAGTCAGCCAGCAGTCATAGACACTGCCACGCTGGCTCTTTGTCGCCCCCTCTTGAACAGCTTCAGTAAATCTTGTCTGAACTTTTGGGACATCAGTACATAGAGGATGGGGTTCATCACTGTAGAGGAGGTCGCCATGAGGCGTGCAAACACACTGAAGAGGCCGTAACGTGGCGAGGCACCAGTGGCGCCTGAGCTTTTATCCGCCAGTAATGCCAGCGTCAGGCCATAGGATGGCAGCCAGCACAGCGTAAAAGCCAGCACCAGCATGGCTGACGTCTTGGTCACTTTACTCTGGTAGCGCTCCACTTGGGGGGCCCTGCCGGTATGCCGACTCCCCCACAGGAACATGTAGATCCTGGCGTATGCCAATGCAATGGTGACCAGTGGAAGCAAGAAGGCCACAAGAAAGTGAAACAATCCATAGATCAGCTGGTCTCGGTGGGACAGGAAAGCAAAGCAAGAGAGGCCATCAGGGGCTCGACGTTGGGATCCCACGAAGCGAAAAACCAGCTGTGGTGCAGCCAGGCTGCAGGCTGGAACCCAGATGAGTGCAGCAGCTATGGACACCCGGCGATGGGAGAGGAGGCTGTAGGCTCTGGCAGGCTTCACTACAGTCAGATAGCGAGACACAGCCAGCGTTGCCAATGTGAAGGCGCTTGCTGAGGAGCAGGCTGATCCCAAGAAGCCCACCAGACGACACATGAAGTCCCCAAAAGGCCATCGCTGCATGGCTATGGCAACAGTGTGGAAGGGAAGCATGGAGAGCAAAAGCAGGTCTGCAGAACTCAGAGCCAGCAGGAGGACGTCTGTTCCTGTCCCTGTCATGGAGCTTTGAGGAGACTGTCCAATATGTCCTACCCCTCTTCTCCGCCTCCCACACAGGATCACCATCACCATGGTGTGTCCGCTAACTCCCAGCACCAGAATCAGCACGTCTAATATCGGGACTAGGACCTGCTCCACGTTGCCCTGCCCAGTGTCACTGCTGTTCCCCAGCAGATCCTCTGAACCTGTAGAGTTGCACAGCGGCATCCTGTCTTCATTTATGGAGGTGTCTTCCGGTCATACTGCTGCTGTTAAAACACAAACACTGTTTGGTTGGGTCAGATATGCTCAAGCTGGTCATAAAACTACTGATAAAACATGTGGGAATGATTACTCATACGGCGTGTCAATAGCTGCTTACTCAGAAATAACAGCACACAGATTTCCAGTCAAAGGTTGATGGTAAGTTTTACCAATAAAAATGAGTGAAGATCAATAGTAAATAAATGACTAAATGCATATAAACACATTACATACATTTATGTCCTTTCTGACATTGTGAAAATGACACTCCTAAAATTGTCCTTTAAACACATCCAGCCATTGACCATTTTCAAAGTTGAGTTCAAGCTTCCAATGTTCTATATGGGAATCAAACCATTCCAGTCCTTGCAATCAACCTACCTCTGATTGGCTGAGGAGGGGGTAAAGAGAGTGAAATAACACCAGACCCCTCCGTTGAATTCAAGACACTCCTGATTTCTTAGCTGCTGGGGGTTTTCATCCCTCCCCCTGGACTCTTGTTAAGAGCACCCAACTGTTGAGAGCTAAATGCTGTAGACTGTGTGATTTCCTGTCACCTCAGAGCAGGCGACTACTCCACATGACATCTCAATCAGGCCAGCGCTCAACAATCCACAATCAGCGTCACTCCTGCCTCCAAGGAACAGATCTCCAGAGAAACACAATTCGAGCAGAAAAGGGAAAAGAAAGGCGAATAGCTCGACGGTAAGAGAGGATGAAACAAGTAAACGGCAGGTGAACTCTGGACTGATTATCACAGAGCAGACCAGAGAAGGGCCGGCCTGCTCTCTGTGGGAGGGCCTAATGAAGCCAAACAGTTTTTCCCAGGGTCCAGTGTTTCTGTTCATTTTTTTCAAAGGATCTGTACATTTTCTAATGTTGTCCCTGCACACACAGACGCTATGCAGAACATACACAGATATGGTATATACACGGACAGAGGCAGAGTGAAATTCTGTTTGCCTTCAGAAATCAGAGAAATTATTGGCTGCCAGTCTGATAGCAAACACTGAACTGCTAACACACCTACTGCAGATAACTGCCATATAACACTATCAGTGTTAGACTAGCTAAGCTCAAGAGCTATAAATTAAGCTCATCTGTATTATTGTGAACTACAAGCGAAAATGTACAGAAACCCAGATAGGCTTAGGTCAACAACGTGAAGAAAAACAGAACTGAAAACCAAGAATTTGAGTAGAAAGTGCTGCAGAGTAGAGATTTACAATTCATTAACAGCACTAAGGAAAGAGGAAATAGTGGTAAATGGTTTTGATGTTGCTCCTCATTGATTTTCAGGGCATTGATTTATGAGTACGAGAAGCGAAGAGGAGTTGTTTTTTTGCATTGCATGCCTTTGCTCTCCTCTCCAGTTACTTTGCTTCATTCACATGCTCCTAGAACGAGCCAGACAAATGTTGATTCATGTCCACAGCGTTGCACTGGAGATGTTGAGGTGTAGTGTTAAGTATCCCACCTGGTGGCGAACCTCACTGATCCTCTGGCCCGAGCTGTGATACAGTGAGATCATATCCAGCCCTGGAAAAGGCCACTGTGATCATTAGAGCCTCACTGTTCCATTGCAGTAACAGTAACAAGGAGGCAACTATTACCAATTATTTGGCATTGGAGAGATCTGACGCGTGGTTGTTTTCAAATGTACTCTTCCTGAAGTACATCATATATGTGTGTGTATGAACTGTTTCTCACCAACAGAGCATTTATTCTCTATCTGCTGCCACAGAACTTTGTGTTCCTCCATTTTGGCTGACTCTTGTCTGTCCTCTGGCCTCTGTGCAGGCAAGGAGCTCACAACCTCTTCCTCTTTTAAGGAGAAAAAAAATGACTTTATTTCTCATCTGTTGATGAGGTAGTGTAATGGAAAGTTATACGCTTGCCGGCAACTGTTATTGTGACCTTTTTAGTGAGCTATTTGTTGGATAAAAGCCTTGAATCACACTGTGTTCTTGGTCATTAATACCAAGCTGTCATGTCCTTAGCCCTGACTCTGTGCTGCCACACAGCAGCCTGCCAGCACTGTGCTGCTGCCAGACAGTCCACACTTGGCCTTTTAACATAGCAATGGGATTGACGTGCTTCCCCCCCCCCATACTTTTCTCTTCTGTCTACACACCTCTTTGTGGTTTAATGTCTCTTTGTTCTTTTCCACTGTTCTCTGTATTTATCTCCATCTTTCTTTTCCCCCTCTTCTTTCTATTCTTTCATTCTTTTTCAGATGTTGGCTCTGTGGAGGGCTTGGCCTACCACAGGGGTTGGGATATGCTGTACTGGACCAGCTACACTACCTCAACTATCACCCGCCACACCGTGGATCAGAGTCGATGGGGCGCCGTTGACAGGCACACCGTGGTCACCATGTCAGGAGATGACCACCCCAGAGCCTTTGTACTTGATGAGTGTCAGAGGTTAGAGCTAATAATTTAAATTTATATCACACCTCTTTGCATTCAAAACTAAATTATGTTAAAAAAATAAACAATATTTGTATTCTCTCCTACAGCCTCATGTTTTGGACCAACTGGAATGAGCAGTCTCCCAGTATCATGCGTGCCACACTGACTGGTGCCAATGTCCTTGTGATCATTGGCAATGACATCCGAACCCCTAACGGCCTGGCCATAGACCACCGTGCTGAAAAACTTTATTTCTCTGACGCCACACTAGACAAGATAGAACGCTGCGAGTACGACGGCACCCGGCGCTACGTGAGTGACATACGCCCTCACGTGGACAGACACACACAGTTAACATCATGCTGCATAATGAAAATATTTGTACTGCAGTATGATTATAATGTGGGGTTTCCTAATAAACAGATGTTGCAAGGCTTGGAGTGTATGAATTGTCGTTGTGCTTCCCCCTGCAGGTGGTGTTGAAGAATGAGCCGGTGCATCCGTTTGGCCTGGCTGTGTATGGGGACTACATCTTCTGGACTGACTGGGTGAGGAGGGCGGTGCTTCGGGCTGACAAATACACTGGAGGAGACATGAAGGTGCTGCGTGCTGACATACCTCAGCAGCCAATGGGAATCGTCGCTGTGGCCAACGACACCAATAGCTGTGAGTTTTTACACAGAGTGAATGTGCGTGTGTCATTATTGTTCTTTATAGTAACGCTGTGACAGGAAGTGTTCCTTTAATCTTTATCACAGTGCAGTTTTTTATGTGAGACTGTATTTTGTGATTTTGTAAATTGGTCATCACATTGGTGCAAAAATAAAGGTCCATCATAATAACAATAAGTCTATTTATAACAACAATAATAAAATCATATGTATAAATGTATAGCTAAATCCCAGGCAGTTAATGTAATCTCATATTCCACTAATATGCAACTAAACCATCCATACGGCACATATCTAGTACACTAATATCTTGACATTTCAATACTGCACAGATTACCATTCCTTTGTGAAATCATCAGTGTAGTAATGCCGTTACAAATCAAACTAATTAACTGAAAATATAGGCTTTTGGGAAGCAAGTCTTGTACTTAAACACCCAAGATGAGCTCTATATTACCACCAACACACTTACACAAGCTGAATTGCAGTTCTTCACTTTTGTCTATACATCTCCACCTCTTTCTCCAACTCATCTCGTCCTACATCTTCCATTGTCTGCGTACTTTAAAATCCTTGCAGCAATTTTTCCCTCTACCATATCGTCTGCCATCTTCTCCCTCAAGTTGCCTCATTCAGTAAACTCTCTCGCGCTCCAATACCCACAGTGACCCTACAAGCCGAGAGCCTGTGGTAATAGCTGCAAATCCCATTTAGGTTGAGTCACATTGAATTATGCATTCAGCGGAGGCAGAGCCATTGCCACATTCATGCAAGCGTATCTGCCTGTCTGCTGATGTGGATGCACAAGTATGTGTGTGTGGGGGGGGTTGTGTTTGCCTGTGTGACACTTGTTCGTGTGCGTGTATGTGTTAATATGTGCGGGTTTGTGTGGCTAACCTTCCCTAACTTTCTTTATCTCTGCGCAGGTGAATTTTCTCTGTGCCGTGTTAACAATGGAGGGTGTCAGGACCTGTGTTTGCTGACTTCTGAGGGAAGGGTCAACTGCAGTTGCCGTGGTGACAGGAAGCTTTTGGAGGACAACACATGCATAGGTAATACACGACAGGGAATCATAAACACATAAGATTGGCTTAAAAACCTTTGCTGAGATGCCAGATATAAAGATATAAAGAAAACAAGTTCTGCACACTATTTTAAGATATACATATATTTTAATAAAGTATTTTTCAATAAATCTGCAGATCCTGGTTTGCAGAAGGTCTTTTGCATGCAGACCATAATGTTATAAAGCTACAAGCAAAGACTGAGATCAGGCTTTGAATGTATTTGAATGAGCACTGAAAATATTCCATGCTGCATGTCTCAGGGGAAGACACTTCCTAAGTGTATTTTTCTGTCTTTGTCTCACAGCCCTCAACACTACATGTAACAACATTGATGAGTTTGAGTGTGGAAATGGAGACTGTGTTAACTACACCCTGACTTGTGATGGCATGGCCCACTGCAAGGACAAGTCTGATGAGAAACAGTCCTATTGTGGTGAGTGGAGCCTTTTTTCTCTCTCAAAAACACTTCCAGCCATATTTTCGCTGTTGACATTTGTAATTTGATCATTTCCTGTCTGGTTCTCAGCCAACCGTGTGTGTAAGAAGGGCTACAGGCGGTGTGTGAATGGCCGCTGTGTGGGGCATAGCTTTTGGTGCAACGGGCAGGATAACTGTGGAGACAATTCTGATGAAGTCTTCTGTAACAGTGAGTCGAGTCCTCTGATTAAACACACAGTTATATATTTTAAAATGATGTTCTAATTAAACACTTTCTCTTGATTTTGTGTTTGCCAGCCACACTCTGCTCAGCTGATCAGTTCCAGTGCAGAGACGGAGGCTGCATCTCTAACTCCAGCAAGTGTAACCAGAAAGTGGACTGCGAGGATGCTAGTGATGAGACGAACTGCAGTAAGTTCAAATGATCAGGTTCAGTCAGAATAACTACATTTAAATGAAAAACGCCAACACTTTCTCCCAGGCAACAGTATAATGTAGTCCTGCTCTCTTTGTTAAGCTGCCACGGATTGTTCCAGTTACTTCCATCTGGGAGTGAAGGGAGTGACATTTCAGAAGTGCGAGTTCACCACACTCTGCTTTGCCCCTTCGTGGCAGTGTGATGGAGCTAATGACTGTGGAGACTTCTCTGATGAAAGAAATTGCCCAGGTATTTTTATCATTCTCTGAAATACACATATTTTCTCACAGTCTGAATAGATGCAGTATCCAAGGAAAAAGTTAAATTATATTTTCATAGATGGATTAGAGCAAAAAGTCTAATTTGGATTATTCCAAATGGAACAAAAACGAATGTTTTCATCCATTAAATTGTGGTTTTGGAGGAAGTTCTCCTTAAAGTCTGCAACATAAATTAAATTTGTATTTTTCTCTCCATGCTGGCTTGACCCCGTAATGTTTTCTTCTCTAACTTGCCACTTTTGTGTCACACTGCTAGGGAGTGGGAAAACAAAGTGTCCTACGCCCTACTTTGCCTGTCCTAGCGGACGTTGTATCCCCATGAGCTGGACATGTGATAAGGAGAATGACTGTGAGAACGGTGCAGACGAGGCTCACTGTGGTAAGTTTACATACTAGAACCTAAACTAGCTGCAACACTAAGTGCAACAGACCATTACTTTGTTTTGGCGCTTGTTTTTTCACTTTATACATTCTTTCTGGACCTCTAGACAAATTCTGCTTGGCCTCTCAGTTTGAGTGTGGGAACCACCGCTGCATTCCCAACCGCTGGGTGTGTGACGGGGCCGACGACTGTGGTGACAGCAGTGACGAGGACAGCAAGTGCAGTAAGTGTTGGGAGCAAACCTTTTAGTGAATACAAGAACCATTTGTGCTAACATTTGTGACACCAAAAATATTTTGACAGCATTAGAATCTGTGTAAAAATATGTGTAAATATATATATTAATAATATAATATAATAATATTACATTCTCAAACATGGAGGAATCCCCTCATTTATAAGGACAGCAGACATTAATCAGCATTTCTGCAAATATGCCAGTGGTAGCCAGCGGTAGCCAGCTGGCTAATTTTCAACTGCAGTCCTTTGGTGAGATGTTTTTAACCTGTAAAGTAATACAATTTACAGAACAATGACAGTTAGACGCCATAGAGACAGCAACAGCAATGAAACAAGTAATTCTTCAAGACAGATCACAAGCCATGCAGAGCAACAGAAGACAGCATCAGTACAATAATACAACAGCAACAAGCACATAAAGCCTTGCAAGCAGCATGAAGCAACAAAACACAGCCATGCAGAGCCATAATAAACAGCAGTCATCAATAAAAATGCAATACTCATTATAGTGATATACAATTGTAAGACACAACTCTAGAAGAACATACCAGATTCTTAATAAAAGGTTAGTAGCTATTCCATACATACCCAAGCCATGAGAAGCTGGCCGCCTAGCAACGGGCAAAGGACATGGTACAAGTTAGCAGCATGTTAGCCAGTAATACAGTAGCTAATGTTAATATTGTGTATTGTATTTTAGCTCGAGCTTTAGTATGTATGCATGTCATCTCTTTTGCAAGATAATTCTGTTGGTGAGTACTGCACAATACTCAAGTGCAATATGGACTGAAATATTGGCATGTTTGCAAAGACTTTTAATAGCTTAAAATAATCACTCTTATGTTATTGACAGTAACTTTCCTATTCTGCCTCTGAAACATTTTTTTAAAATTATCTGTTTCCAGAGTTCACATCATATTCACAAATATTCAGGGCAAAGAAAGGCATCACAATAATCTTCAATAACCTCTTTCCATCACAGAGACAAAAACCTGCAGTCCCGAGGCGTTCCAGTGTCCTGGATCACATATGTGTATCCCTCAGGGTTGGAAGTGTGACGGAGACAAAGACTGTCCTGACGGGGCTGACGAGAGTGTCAAAGCTGGCTGTGGTAAGTGCAGGCTGCGGGTATAAAACATTTTAATAACGCAGATAAAGAAAAACATAAAACCACACTGCACCTGTAGAGGTATACAAGTTATTTATATCATTCACTCACCAAATTTTTTTTTATGTATCAGTATTCAACAACACGTGCAGCAGCAATGAGTTCATGTGCCAGAACCGACAGTGTATCCCCAAGCACTTTGTGTGTGACCATGACAACGACTGCAGTGACGGCTCTGACGAGTCCCAGGAGTGTGGTGAGTGGAACCATGACCTCTTATCCCTGATGGGGCGATTTTAAAAAGCTCTTTCCTCCTCGCTCGATTTCACTATTGTGCTGTTTCTTCTTGTTTTTTTCGCTGCAGAATATCCGACATGTGGAGCCAATGAGTTCCGCTGTGCCAACGGGCGCTGCCTCATCCAGAGTTCATGGGAGTGTGATGGAGACTTTGACTGCCATGACCACTCAGATGAAGCCCCCAAGAACCCACACTGCACTGGGCAAGGTTAGAGCCACACAGCCACTCCAGAAACACTTTACTTTTTACTAATTAATTCAGTGCATTAATTGACATCAGTGTAATTTAAATATGCCAGATTTAGCCACATCTCTGTAGCCTTTGTGTATTTTATTGTAAAAAAAATTAAATGTAGCCAAACAACATTATAGCACATACAGCATTAACAGGAGATGGAGAAGGCACATCCAATTAAAGTGCCTGTGTTAATGCACGTAAAAGTGAATATGACCCCAACTTATTATATTTTGGCAACTGGAAAGCAACAGTTCAGGGGTCTGAAATAATATCAGCTGCACTGGTTGACATAGTCTCTTCATTTGTTTCTCATTTCCTTTCATGGAACAGAGAAGAAATGCAACGATACGGCTTATGCCTGCAACAATGGAAACTGTGTCAATGAGACACTGCTCTGTGACCATAAGGACGACTGCGGCGATGGCTCAGATGAGCTGAACTGCTTTATCAACGAGTGCCTGAACAACAAACTGAGTGGCTGCTCCCAGCTCTGTGAAGACCTTAAAATAGGCTTTAAGGTAAGCAAACACCATGGAATTCAGACCTGCGATCTCCGGTAATAGACATGTAAACATAAGCAGCATGCATTGTTGCTTTACCTGCTCCGTGCTTTGCCTCCTCACAGTGCAGATGCCACCCCGGCTTCCGTCTGAAAGACGATGGGAAGACGTGTGTCGACATAGATGAGTGCACGACCACCTATCCCTGCACGCAGCGTTGCATCAACACACACGGCAGCTTCCACTGTTTGTGTGTGGAGGGTTTCCAGCTTAGCCCTGAAAACCCTACCATATGCAAATCCACCTCAGGTAAGAAACATGACAAGATTAATAACTTTCAGGAAGTGTTTATAGTAAATCCACTCACATATGACGTATCCCTCCCTGCAGATGAGGAACCTTTCCTGATCTTTGCCAACCGTTACTATCTGAGGAAGCTGAATTTAGATGGCTCCAACTACACACTGCTCAAACAGGTGAGCCCTGCAGATACAGTATGTCCTTTTGAAGTTCTTAGAAATCCTGTACAACTATCCTGCAGGGATTTATGGCTGGCCCAGACTAATGCAGCTCCCTGTGCTTTGACAGGGCTTGAACAATGCTGTGGCTCTGGACTTCGACTATCGCCAGCAGATGATTTATTGGACAGATGTGACCACCCAAGGCAGCATGATCCGACGCATGCGCATAAACGGCAGCGATGTTCAGGTCAGTGCGGCAGCAGGGTCTTGTCTAAGGATAGCAGACAGGGAAATGTGCTGATAATACCTTCTTAGTCTTAACATAAAACCGGCATTTAAAATGATTAATTAATCTTCATTTGTATGCATGAAAGTGCAGCGAAGACCCAGGAAAAATAATTAACTTCCTCTCTGTAAGGCACAGTTTCAGAAAGTATACACTGCTTGCTCATTTGTTAGGTCCTTCATCGCACATCACTCAGCAACCCAGATGGTCTGGCAGTCGACTGGGTAGGAGGAAACCTGTACTGGTGCGATAAGGGACGGGACACTATCGAGGTGTCAAAGCTGAATGGAGCGTACCGAACAGTTCTGGTCAACAGCGGCCTGAGGGAGCCACGTGCTGTGGCTGTGGACGTACGTTATGGGTAAGAGTGACTTTCTATAACTTTGAAGAACTGGGTCAAAAAGTGGAAGCAAAGATTTTTTTGAGCAGAGAACGTTTTTTTTCATTCTGTTTGGATGGCCGATGGGTGCATTTCATATACATGAATTCATGTACTCTTTAGTTAAACTGCCTAACTGCCTTGTTTGTCAGTTACTGTATATTAGATTGTACGTGATTTTGTGTATTTGAAACTCATTGTTTTCATAAAAGATTTGTTATGGATAAACCTAACTAATACATCACTTCCCTGACAGGTACTTATACTGGTCAGACTGGGGTGACAGTCCGCACATAGGGAGGATCGGGATGGATGGCACCAACAGGAGTGTCATTGTAGAGGATAAGATCACCTGGCCCAATGGCCTGACGCTGGACTTTGTCAATGACCGCATTTACTGGGCCGATGCTCGAGAGGACTACATCGCATTTGCCAGCCTGGATGGAACCAACAGACACACAAGTAATTGCACACACAAACCCAATAGGACTGTGTTTGAGCACCTTTCCACTTGTTGTTACTGACTTCTTTGTCTTTATGCCTGTGCCTCTGTAGTTCTGGTTCAGGATATCCCCCACATCTTTGCTATGACTCTGTTTGAGGAGTACATCTACTGGACGGACTGGGAAACAAAGTCCATCAACAGAGCTCATAAAACACTAGGAATCAACAAGACCGTGCTGATCAGCACCTTACACAGACCGATGGACGTCCACATTTATCACCCGTACCGACAACCTGAAGGTAATACCAAGTCACCTGTAACCCACAGTCATCCATGTCCAGGTCCCTGTTTGATCTACTCCTAATCCTACTTGTATATATTTCCTTGTTCTTCAGTGGCCAACCACCCGTGCCAAATCAACAATGGAGGCTGCAGTAACCTGTGTCTGCTCTCACCTGGAGGAGGCTACAAGTGTGCCTGCCCCACTAACTTCTATCTAGCAGCTGATGGCAAACAGTGCTTGTCCAACTGCACTGCAAGTCAGGTGAGCCTGTGTGAGGCTATTGTTTTAGATATTTGCCTGTATTAACACATTATCAAAATTAAAAATGTCTCTTCTCTCCCTTCAGTTTGTCTGCAAAAATGACAAGTGCATTCCATTTTGGTGGAAGTGTGACACTGAAGATGATTGTGGGGACCGCTCAGATGAACCTGCACATTGCCGTGAGTGATGATTTTAGCCTGACTACATTAAGACTTAATAATATGTCACTGTTGCTGTATATTGTTTTGTTTGTTCTGGTTAATAATGTGCTGTGTTTTGTCTCTGTAGCTGAGTTTAAGTGCAGACCAGGTCAGTTCCAATGTGGTACAGGCATCTGCACCAACCCAGCCTACATCTGTGATGGAGACAATGACTGCCAAGACAACTCTGATGAGGCCAACTGCGGTAAACACACACCTACACATACTTGCAACATTTAAATATTTTTATTAGGTGTACCTATAATAACCTGTATCTTCTGTTTTTCCAGACATCCATGTGTGCCTGCCAAGTCAGTTTAAATGTACCCACCCAAGTCGATGCATCCCTGGCATCTTCCGTTGCAATGGACAGGACAACTGTGGAGAGGGAGAGGATGAGAAGGACTGTCGTGAGTCTAATTGCCCTTCTAGTTCCCATAGGCCCTCTGTTATTTGTCAAGTTTTGCCCTGCTAGTGGTAGCGCTTACAGTATGTCTGTTCATTTATCTGAACAACACTTCGGTCCAGAGCAAGACATGTCTACAACTTTAAGCATGACTCCACCAGATGAACCCTACTGTTTGTAGTGACCTCTTCACCTTCCCTCTTTGCTTCCCTTAAGCCACAGTGTCCACTTCCACATACTGTATTTCAAAATTTAATGAGCAGATAGGACATTGCTAAACACTTTCACACTCCCCAGAGGATCTCTGTCCATTTTGACCTTTCCTTTAGCGACCCCCTTAGGCCAAATGATGTTGCATAATGTAATTGCCATGACATTTGCTGAGCACATTCATCCTCCACAGAGGGAGATTACATGAACTATGCTGTCGTGCCATCCCAAGGTCAAAATTGATATTTTAGCACCTTTAACTGCAAGGCTGTGAGAATAGCAAAAATCACTATGCTATTTTGTTATGAATGTTGCAGTGGGCCACTAGCAGGACTTTAGCATTGTAATCATTTTAACATGTGAAAGTTGGGATTAGGTAGCAAGTCTGTTGCATCTGTCTGTGTCCTGTGTAGCGGAAGTGACATGCGCCCCCAACCAGTTCCAGTGTGCCATCACTAAGCGCTGCATCCCACGGGTGTGGGTGTGTGACAGGGACAATGACTGTGTGGATGGATCTGATGAGCCTGCCAACTGCAGTAAGACACAACTCATTATTACAGTGCAAATATTTCTCAAGAAATAAGTCTCCTCTACAGCAGGACTTGACTGATCATATCAAGTGGATGTCGGTTATATAGATAAAAAAATACATATATGGAGAATATTACAGCAGTGTTTGGAGTTTAAAAATGATACAGCCACAACAGAACTGACTGCAGGAGAGTGTTGATGTTCACTTAATGCATCATTATTCAGCTGTTCATTATTCATTCGTTTTCAATATTAATAATAACACTATTATCTATTTGTTATCTGTTAATTATGTTACAGAAACAGTGAGTGAATAATCCCATGCCCAGTGCCGAAGTGTCTAATCCATTAAATCCTCTCTATTGCAGCTCAAATGACTTGTGGTGTGGATGAGTTCCGCTGCAAGGACTCGGGGCGCTGCATCCCAGCACGCTGGAAGTGTGACGGAGAGGATGACTGCGGAGACGCTTCAGATGAACCCAAGGAAGAGTGTGGTAAGGACGAAGTGGTAGATGAACAAAAAAAGGGCGGGACGTTGGCAGTGGGGCCATGCTTGTACTCACTGCGTCTGTTTGGTGCTCAGACGAACGAACATGTGAGCCGTACCAGTTCCGCTGTAAGAACAACCGCTGCGTGCCTGGACGCTGGCAGTGTGACTACGACAATGACTGTGGGGACAACTCTGATGAAGACAAGTGTGGTAGGTTCCCTCTGCCTTTTCTACAGCCACATCCACAGCTCATTGTCTGTATGAAAACAGTGATTTATAACATGATATGAGCTCTACTGTAAGCAGACTGTTGAGATGCTACAGGTTCTAGTGGTAAGCAATGTATCACCTTTCACTGTGTCTTTGTCTGTTATATTTACTCAACCACACGCATGGTTGAGACTTTGATTTCTTTTCACGTTAATTAGTTGTGTGGCCATTTGCACATCTCACATCATCTCATGTCTATTTTTCATTTCACACTGGCCTGTTGATGTGAGCCAGAGGTAGGTGTTTTCACAGTTTCAGCTCAACCATCCACAACCTCAGCTACCCAGTCCTCTGTGTACCCCCAGCTTGTTTCTTTTTGTTGTGTGAACCTTTTCCTTCCCTTTTCAATCCCACTAGCTCTTCTGCTACATATAGTACAGAATGTTGTACCATCCCCACCTCAGTGCCCCATGAATCAATATTGTGATATGAATGATCAACCTTATTTTTTATTCATGTGTGTCTGGCTCTCAACAAAGCACCCTGTGTTATTTTTGCAGTCTGCTCTATTCCCACCTTTCTCTTCTCTTCCCTTAAGCCTCTCCTTGCTCCTTGCCTCTGCTCTATGTTCCTGCTCAATTATCTTCTCTCGCCCTCCTAAGCTGTCTGCTCTCTGTCCTCAGTGCCTCGTCAGTGTTCAGAGAGTGAGTTTGCCTGTACAAATGGCCGTTGCATCGCCGGGCGCTGGAAGTGCGACGGAGACCACGACTGCGCTGATGGTTCGGATGAGGTATATCTCAACCATTTCCTTCCTCATTAACATTCTGCTTTGAAATTTGACATACCAGGGGCACTAACGAATTTTTTTTTATTTGCTTTTGTCCAGAATGGCTGTGATGTGAAGTGTGACAGTGATCAGTTCCAGTGCAAAAATGGCCATTGCATCCCCATCCGCTGGCGCTGTGATGCTGATGCTGACTGTGTGGATGGCAGTGATGAGGAGACATGCGACAGTGGTAGTAAGAAACAGACACAAATGTTCTCCCGGATGTTTAGCCAAACTATCACAATGCTGAAGAGTGGAGGCCTCTGAGTTCTCCAGGATCATTCCTGCCCCTTTCCTCCTGCCCTCTCCCTCCACCAACTGAATTTTTTATTTACTGTTATTTATGTGGTATCTCATACCCTTTAAGTGTCTGCTTCTGTATGTGTTGTTTTCTCGGTCTCCTGTATCACTGTCTTGAGAATTCTTCTTATAATCCAATACACTTTTCAAATACATAGGATTAATGCTAGTATATCTAGTAACATTATTATTATTATTATTATCGTGTTTCAGTGGGTAGACACTGCCCCCTGGATGAGTTCCAGTGCAACAACACTCTTTGTAAACCCCTGGGCTGGAAGTGTGACGGCGAGGATGACTGTGGCGACAACTCAGATGAGAATCCAGAAGAGTGCGGTGAGGGTCACTGCGTTTCACATGTAGCCAGTGTTCCTGAACACCATCGGACACTTTAAGTAAATACGGTCTTCTCTCTTCCATAATGTTTATGTCCTTCTGTCCCGTAGTTAAATTCCAGTGTCCACCCATGAGACAGTTCCGCTGTCATAATGATCGAGTGTGTCTACCGGTGTCAAAACGCTGTGATGGCGTCAACAACTGTGGGGACAACAGTGATGAAGCAAACTGCCGTGAGTTTTATTAACTAACTAACTCACATCAACAATTCAAGAACGTATTTTATCAGAATAGGGTGGGATTCTAAATCATGGACTGGGCTGATATTTGCATGTCAGTGTAATGACCTCTCTGCGAACCATATACTTCTCCCACAGTGCCTCCTTCACCACCAATATGTCAAAAGGATGAGTTCCAGTGCTCTAACGGCCGTTGCATCAGCACTGTCCTCCGCTGCAACTACTACAACGACTGCGAGGACTATGGTTCTGATGAAATCCACTGCAATAAGAAAGGTATGTTGTGTCACTGTATAGTTTCCTTAATGACATTCTGTGGGGTCATCAATGTGAACGCATGCTACTCGTTTCTGTGCTCGCAGACACGGTGCTGAATGACTGCCGCAGTAACAGGACAGTGTGTGGAGACGGAGATGAAGCTCATTGTGTGGTGAACGGCACCGACTCTTTCTGCTCCTGCAAACCTGGCTTCCAATCTAATGGACGGAACAGATGTGAAGGTAGAAATTTCTTTGCCCTTGCCCAATTTTGCACATTTTATGTTGTGGCTAAAATCTGCTCTTGAGGATTTTAAAACTATGTGCAATGGGTATCGTGTTGTCTTTGTGTGTTTCACAGATAAAAACGAGTGTAAGCAGTTTGGAGTGTGTTCCCACATCTGCAACAACACTAAGGGATCCCACAAGTGCAGCTGCCACAAGTACTTCACCAGAATCAATGAGACCTGCAAGGCTGATGGTGAGCTCTTCTACCATAAGTGACACTTGTTAGCTTTCCAAGCTTATGTTTATCTAGTTTTTCACGTCTCTTGTCCCTACTACAATCATCTGCACCCCCAGCTCCGAGACAAGTGCTTTACATCGCTGATGACAGTGAGATCCGCAGCCTGGACCCTTCCATGCCAAACTGGCGCTATGAGCAGATCTTCCAGGGTGACGCCAACGTGCGCATTGATGCCATGGACCTTCATGTGAAGACAAACCGCATTTACTGGACAAACTGGCACACAGGACGCATTTCTTCCTATGATTTGCCTTCTTCCTCCTCCTCCCCCAATAGCAACCGTAACCGACGCCAGAGTGACTCAAGGGTTACAAACGTAGAGGTAAATGTGTATATGTTTGCTTGTACCTTTGCATGCATATGATGTAAAAATAAACAAGACAGGCAAAGCATATGTGTGCAATTTTGGAGGGTCTTAGTGCTGTTTTTCTCTGCCTCTGTGTTCAGATCCCTGATCTGAAGATGCCCCGTGGCATTGCAGTGGACTGGGTGGCAGGGAACTTGTACTGGACTGACTCTGGAAGAGACGTCATTGAGGTGGCCCAGATAAGTGGAGGACGCCACCGCAAAACTCTCATCTCCGGCATGATCGATGAGCCTTACGCCATTGTAGTCGACCCCCAGAGAGGGTGAGCGGATCTTGTACAAAATCACTAGTATGCAAATAGAGATTTAATTGCGATAACAGCAGTGATAAATGGAGCTTTTACTTTTTCTTAATTAGGAAAATGTACTGGGCAGACTGGGGGAACCACCCAAAGATTGAAACCGCTGCTATGGATGGAACCATGAGAGAGACGCTGGTGGAGGAAAACATCCAGTGGCCAACTGGTAAAACATGCACACATTCAATCATCCTCAATAGTCTGTTTTATACTAAGTACAAGTATGAGTCTTTAATTCTTCAAACATTTTCTAATACTGCTTTCTCTCTGTCACTCTCCCTGTATAGGTCTAGCGGTGGACTACTTCAACGAGCGTCTGTACTGGGCCGATGCTAAACTTTCCTTGATCTGCAGTGTGAGACTGAATGGCAGCGATGCAGTTGTAGCTGTAAACAGCATTAAGAACAGTTGAGTGGCACATGCTAATCCATACTAATGATCAGTCTCTGTTAGTCAAGACAGGACAGTGAAAGAATGTGTATTTTAGTATGTATACTGTCTGTGAAGCTACTTTAACCTCACTTCCTGTTTCTACGCAGAGCTCCACCACCCCTTCAGCATCGATGTATTCGAGGACTACGTCTATGGCGTCACCTACATCAACAACTACGTCTTCCGAGTGAATAAGTTCGGCAAAGGCCCCATTGAGAACCTGACAACAGGAATGAACCACGCCACAGATATTGTTTTGTACCACCGCTACAAGCAACCAGAGAGTGAGTAGAAAACAGACAAAACTCAATACTCATTAAAACAAAGAAGAGAAGACTAAAGCAGCTAGTTATTTTCCCCTCATTTCTAATAGTGGCTCTCTCTCTGTCTTTGTCAGTGGCTAATCCCTGCGACAGGAAGAAATGTGAATGGCTGTGTCTGCTGAGCCCCAGTGGACCAGTCTGCACCTGTCCCAATGGACGCACGCTGGACAACGGCACATGTGTGGAACTGCCGACTCCCACTCTGTCTCCTCTCTGTGAGTAAACGCACACTCCTACATACAGAACACACACACAGACACTGACATCTAAACCCTCCTGCATGACCGAAAAAACGTCTTCACCTACAGCTCCTCCCAGTGGTCCCTGCTTGGTCCAGTGTATGAACGGTGGCAGCTGTTTCCTGAATGCCCACAAGCAACCCAAGTGTCGCTGCCAGCCTAATTATGGAGGCGATCGATGTGAGATTGACCAGTGCAGAGACTACTGCAAGAATGGAGGCACATGCACACCCTCCCCTACAGGTAAGATATGGACATTGCAAGCTGTTTTTTTGCATTTTGTGTTAGCTTTCTCTTGCTAGTTCAGTAAGATAACATTGTAGTTGCTGCAATGCAGGCTAAAATATGGCTTTGCAGGCCAGTTTTGGTGGCCCAATAACATGACACATCTACTTATGCCTACATATGTCTGTCCTTCCACAGGCTCTCCTACCTGTCGATGCCTGACGGGCTTTACAGGGCCAAACTGTAACCTGCACACCTGTAAGGATTACTGCAAAAATGGAGGCAACTGCACAGTCAGTGCCGGAAACCAGCCAACCTGCCACTGCCCCTCTGACTTCCTGGGCGACCAGTGCCAGTACAGTGAGTGTCCCCACTATCTAGCCCACATGCTGATCAATGAGGAATAATAAAGAATAAAGCCAGAATCACAATCACAGTACCTGTATTCGATTATGATGTGGTTGGTAAGCAGTGCACTTAATGTTTTTGTGTGTGTGTGTGTGTGTGTGAGCAGGAAGTTGCGAAGGCCACTGCCTGAATAAAGGCACATGTCTACAGAGTGAAAATGGCTCCAAACTGTGCCGCTGTTTGCCTCAGTACACTGGCAGCACATGTGAGATTGACAAGTGTCATTATTGTCGTGACGGCGAGTGTATCCCCAGCAACAGTTTTACATCTACAGGGGACTTCACCTGCCGGTAAGAGCACTCGCACACGCTTCATTTACTCAACACAAACAGACTAACACATGCATGGTTGTCTCGTCTTCCTTATTGCTACACACATTTTTTTCTGTCTTCTATAGTTGCACAAATGGAAGAATCCAGCCCAGCTGTTACACATGTGATACAAATGAGTACTGTGCAAATGGCCAGTGCTCTATAAACCCCATCAACCGCCTTCCAGAGTGCAGGTGAGGAGCAGTGTTTTCATCCATAAGTGATGCTGAATATCTCCAATGTATCACTGCGTACATGCATACATATCTGTTTTTCCTCTCTTCTTGTGTTTGTGTGTGTGTGTGTGTGTGTGTGTGTGTGTAGATGTTCACCTGGTTGGGAGGGGCATCGCTGTGAGTCTGTGGCCACCAGTGGAGGTGCCTCAGGTTCAAGCGGGCGTAAGTTGACACTTTACCAGGACATCAATAATAGAACTTCATAAGTTCATATGATCAAGGTTTTCTCTTATGTTTGTGTGTTTGTTTGTGTACGCAGGCACAGCCTCCATAGTGATCCCTGTGCTGCTACTGTTGCTGCTGGTTCTGCTGGCTGCAGGAGCGTTGTTCTGGTATAGAAGAAGGATGAGAGGGTGAGTAACAGAAACGCATTCAAAAAAAGAGGCAATCGAGACCTCTTTTTGCCTTTGCATTCGCTCTTTACCTCCCTCTTTTTCTTCTTTCTTTCTCTTCCTTCTTTCTGTTCTTCCGTCTGCACTTTTCCTCTCCTCTCTGTAATGGCATCTCTTCTGCTCCTCAGGTCTAGCCGGCCCGGCAAAACCGGCTCAAGACGCTTGCGGTAACGGTTGCCAGGGTTAAACTTTCCTTCCATTGCCTCATTCAATTCTGCATCCTGATGCTCTCTATCTTTCCCTGTATTTCCCTTACCCATAAGTCTTGGTTGCTGTGCAGTGTTTGGTCCTGTGGTGAATGTCGCGCCATTCTCTCAGATGTTGGTGGGAGCTGCTTAATTGCCCTCGTCAGAGCGGCTCCAGGGCAGATCTATTGAAAAGATGCATTGAATAGATCTGTCTATGCACTAGCCAGTGCTGTAGATCTGTCATACTGTTGTCCATCATACTGTGCCATATTGTACTTACTGTACTGTGCTGTGGTTTGTATTGTGGTAGTGTCTCTCATAGTGAGAGATGGACAGTGTGATAGCATTCTTCCAAGTTCAGATTGGAAAATGCAATGTGTAAAATCCAGCATTTACTTGGAGGTAGATACCATAGTCAATGCACACATTCATTCACAGCATATTTTAGACGATCTATCGTGGATTTATTGTGGTCTTGGAGGATAGTCTGTACATTAACAGTCCTGTATCCAGGTCCACTGTGCCTGGATCTGTCATGGGCTACATGAATGCTGGGTTTGTGTTGGTGCCTGTGCTGTGGCTTAGTTCCCTCAGCCTGGATGGTGGTGAGAGTCATGTGATGCCTCTTCCCTCCCTTCATAATGTGGCTGTGTCCCTGCTTGCACTGTTTAGGTTGTTATAACCTTAAATGAGACACAAAGGTATGACTGTGCCCCATATATTTTGTGTAGGGCCAAGGGCTTCCAGCACCAAAGGATGACCAACGGGGCCATGAATGTTGAGATTGGAAACCCTGCCTACAAGATCTACGAGGGCGAGCCTGATGACGACGCCGGGGAGCTGCTGGACGCAGACTTCACCCTGGACCCAGACAAGGTAGAGAAAAATACCTTGCGCATGTGTACGCAAATGTTTTAGCTTCTGCACAAATATAGCTATATAATATCTAATGGATGTTTTTTTTTTTTTACCTTTTCCAGCCCACCAACTTCACAAACCCAGTATATGCCACTCTGTACATGGGAGCACACAACAGTCGCAACTCTCTGGCCAGCACAGATGAGAAGAAGGAGTTGCTATCACGCGGAGATGAGGAGCCCCTTGTGGACCCCCTGGCATAGACTTTCCATTGGCCTGGATCACGCTACTCCAAACACACCCCTCTTCTTGCCTTTAAAGAAAAAACTAAACAAAAAAAATTCGATAAAGTGTGAAAGAAAATTGATAAAAAGTGTGAACACTGTATAAAATGTACAAAAATGAAGGACTACTTTTGTATGTGATTGCAGTATTATATTTTGTTCTTTTGAGATTCTTCTGGTCAAAAATGAATAACATTTTCTATGAGAGATTTTTAATTTACACTTTGTCCCTTACCCTTTACCTAAATAGCCACTACCTCTGTGCAAAATGAAATGGAAACAAGAAAATCAGAAGAAAAGATGCTATCATTGGAGCAATTTTAATTTTTTATTTTTGTATGAATTGTATAGAGAAGAAAAAACATTGTTCCATTTCACCAGTGCCAACTGTTTGTTGTTTGTGTTGACTTTGAGCGGGAAAGGCAAAACTCAAAGTTTTCTAAATCGGTACATATGTTGTCTCGCTGGATTTCTTAGCGAGATTGTGTGAGACAGATTTGTGATAGCACCGTTTGTGTATAGCACATGTAAAATGTCAATACCAGGTGGCAACTACAGTATTTCCACATATTTTTTTCTCAGAGAACAATGTTCATGAAATGATTGTGTTGTCTTCCTTGCACAGAATTAATATTTTACGGTATAGTGTATACTGTAGGCTTTATACCGTAAGATGTAAAGCAGGTATGTTTGTTTTTATCACATTGTATGACAGTTGGAGCTCATGTGTTGCTGAAGTGAGAGGATGATAGTTGTTTCGGTGTGTGATTATGGAGCTGGAAAGTAAGGAAGTTGGTCATGGGTTAAACATTCCAGGCAGAGTGGTGGGTGGAGATTGCAGGTGTAAAGAGATGATGAGGGTGAATGCCTTCATCGGGGGGCTATTGGCGTACATGTGCGTATATGCCACAACTGGCTAATGAGGAGACGGCCATAGCAGATACAACTTTGATAGACGGGGTAATGCCTGTACCATTTAGTTGTCTGTTACTTCCTCCAGAAGGAAAGGGAGGCTGCAATTGTGGTAAAACGGAAGGAAAAAAGATGATCGAGATGGGTCTTTTACTTGTCTTTTATTTCTTTTTTTTTTTGTAAAGACCAGATTAACACCCATCTGGATTTGTGAGTAGATATATCTTTCTACCTTTAGAGGATCAAAGTCTGTACATTCACAGTTTTGTAATGACTCAGTCTTAAGTGCTTTATGTTCATTTGGTCCTTTCTCTGGTCTTCTTGAGCTCTTTCTAATCTCTCACTCTCCTCTGTGCCCTGCTGCTGCTAATGCTACCATTCTGGTCGCTCTGACACGTCCTTACGCTCAGCCTGTCCCAAAATGCTGCTTCTGTCAGAAATGTGTCAGCCATATCTTAATGCATGTGAAAAGTAACACCAATCTTTAATGTAACTACAATAACAAGTTTTTATTTTGCTTACCTGTCAGCAAGTGTTATTTTATGCTGTTGTATATGTTTTGTCGTTAATTGAGAGAGAAGTACAATCATTTTACCTAAAGAACATTTTTGCAAAAATCATACATGCATTTTCAGAATTGTTTTTTGATTAGTCCTTGTTTTTTTTTGTTTTTTTAATGAAAAATGACACATAGCTTTTATAGTACACGATGCATGGAGGCTCAGACTTTCTTCTGGAAAGAGAATAATGTTTAATTTTTGCTGGAGTACTTTACAAACTAAATAACAGATATTGTTATAAATAAAATTTTAAAAATTGTACAGAAAATAAGCCAGTGTGCTTTGTGTTTTGTTGACAGGTGCCAGATAAAGTCATTGTGATTAGCCACTCAGTGTTTCCACTCTTTTTATAAAATAATTTTCCAGGATATTTCCCAGAAGTTTTTCTTGACAATAAGGGGCAGCACTTACTTTCAGTCATATAAGCTTAGAGTTTCAGGCAATTTGACTACATTAACAAGTAACAAATCAAGTTCAAATCAAGTAGAATTTATTTTATTTTACAGTAAATTCATCTTCTGAAAGTGTTCATTACATGTTCAATCAACATCACTGTGCATGTATTTATCAACCGCAGCAACAAGAAATGTGACCATTATTAGACTATATGCATGTAGATGAGAATTAAATTAGAAAAAATAGACACGATGCAGAAATCACTGAAAGTCAGTCCCACTTTGAATCTGGTAAACCCTCTTTTAAGTATTGTACAGTTTATCCTACCAACAGTTGAGTTCAAACATAAAACACACCTAGGTTTACCTAAGTGAAAAACAATTCCATGACAACACAGATTATTTCCAAGATAATTCATTTCCAGGTGTTTCCGTGACTGGAAAACTACATTTCCAGGTTTTCCAGGATCATGCACAGAAACCCTGGTCAGTGTGGGTTGATTTAACAATTTATTCAGCAAACAGTAAATCAGATCATGTTTACTGTAGACATAGTTGAACTTATGGATGCAAATGTCATTCTTATACCGTTATACATTGAAAAACTAAACAATGAGAAAACCTTTACTCAAAAAAAGTTATACCGTAAATAATACCGTATATGTTGCTAAACCATAAACTCTTGAGATGTAAATGCTATCTGGTGCACCTCAAAGCAACTGTTATATGATAATATGAAACATTGTAAGAGAAGAAGAAAGACATCATATAATTGTCTGCATATCAGCATAAATAATCATCTTAGTGTTTTTGTGTGAAAACAACTAATTTCAGCCACTTTTTATTAAAGGCTACGTTCATACTGCAGGCTAAAGTGGCCAGAATCTGGATTTTTTTGCTCATATGTGGCTCAGATCTGATTTTCTCATGAATGGCAAAAAACACATAGAATCTAATCTTTTCAGTTCTGATTTGGGTCACTTTCAAATGTGGTCCAAATCAGATACAGGTCTGATTTTTTGCAATACAACCTCAGTGTGAACAGTCATATTAGAGTTCATGTGACTTTTATGTTGCATTCAGCTCCTCTCTGATTCTTGTCAGGTAGCCCGGGTCAGGATACCCAAAACTGTGGAAACAAAGTATGTACAAGGGTTAATGTATAACATTAAAATAGACTTGGCATCAAAAAAAATCTATCTTACAAAGAACTCAGAGATTTGGCTACTGTACCGCTCTGGTCCTTCTGACGTTGAGGTTTTGGGGTGCTTCAGTGTTGTACAGTGTTGCGAGTGGTGTATCCTGATTGTCCATTCAACACAGGCTCTCTAGAGGCCTCTGACCGAGAGCCACTGAACCCGGTGGCACCATGGTGTGATGTGGCAATCTTCTGGTACAGCTGAAGAAGAGCTCTGACAGCATGGCTCTCCATTGCTGCATTTCCTTCAGATCCTTTATAGTGAGCTTTGACTTTGACTTTGCCTTGACTGATGCCAGATTTCTTAAAGTCCACACCAAACTTAGCTTTGATCTTAGAAACATCCTCATCGAAGATAGTAGTCATCAGCTTCCAGTAGCTCTCCTCTATGG